AAAGTGTCAGGGCTTACCGAAGAGCATTCATGAATAACAATTTAAGCACTAAATACTGGTCTTGTACAGAATGACGTATATTGGGAAGGCAGTGAACGGGAAAGTCATGATCACGTGATAGACGACAGGGGAGGGGGCACGAGGATGTGCAGGAGAGCTATGACTGTGTCCTCCACAGTGGGGACTCAATAGCTCAGGTCCCAAGCCAGAAACCAAGAGGCCCTGTGAGAAGCATGTGATACAGAGAAATGGAAGTTACAAAGTGAAAATACAGAGTTGAAAATGAATGCCAGGGCCAGCAGGAGGTATGGTAGTTAAGGGGCTAGATTCTCACATGGCCAACTGGGGTTCCAGTCCCAGACAGGGTCGCTTGAAAATCATAACAAATAAATACAAAAATAAATGAGTAAGTGTTAAAAAAAAAAAAAAAAAGGAAAAGAAAAGAAAATGAATGCCTCGGGCTAGCAGGTGGGATGGTGGTTAAGGTGCTGGACTCCCACATGACTTCCCACGGTTGGAGTCCAGGACCTGCTGGCTTGCTTTCTCACTTTCCCTCTCTCCTGTCAAATTTTAAAAATATTTACAATAATAAAATAAAATAATTCTTTTTTTTAAAAGAAAATGAATAGTCAGGGATACAATGGATAATTTTTTCTTCGCAATTTTTTATAGTAACACTTTTAGAACTATTGGGACATTGGGAAAGTCATGACACATTTTTTCCATAGAAAAAAATAGAAAAATACATCATGACTTTCCCGGTGACGTAACTTTCCTTAAAAAGTTTAAAGAATGAAGAAAGTTCACATTTTACGAAAACAAAGCAATAAAACCCCTTCCTTCTGTATAAAGAGAAAGAGAAAACGTCCTGGAATGATTCACTACAGCAATGGTGGTTATCTCTGGGTGGTGCAATAACTGGTGATTCTATTGCTTTGTGACTATCTGCATTCTACAGTTTTAAGAGTCTATTAATAATTACTACTAATGGGGGGAGGCAACAGATGGTGTAGCTGGACTCCCACATGGCTGACCATGGTTCGAGTCTTGGACCTGGAGGCTTGAAACTCACAGGCTGTGTGTGTGCATGCAGGCCCACAATCCCAAGAGGAGAATGGAGAAGGGACTGTGGCGTGGCCATCTACCCTAGGGGGTAATTTTTCACTTTCCCTCTCACTGTCTCTCTTTCTCTCCCCCTGGGGGTGCACACACACTAAGGCAAAACACCTCTAATAATAATTATTATAATTATTACTAATCTAAAAACTAAAAGAAAGTTCTAAGGATCATGACTTTGTTAAAAAAAAAAAAGAAAAAAAAAAAGGGCGGAGGACTGGCCTACAGCCTAGTGATTGAAGTAACTAGATCCCACATGGCTGACCTCGGTTTGAAGCCCATTCCCAGCAGCTTGGAGTACATGCTAGACACATGTGCACGTGTGCCCCAAATCCTGACAGGATGGAGGAACGGAGAAGGGACGTGGGAAGCTCATGACCCACTGCGGGGGAGGGGGATGTCCTTTCTCTGTGTGTGTCTCTCTCTGGAGAGTGCACATGCCCTCTGGCAACTACGAAAAAAAACAAAGAACAAAAAGCAAATGAAAACCCTTGACAAACGGAAACAAAGCAATCATGATGCTTTAAAAAGAATTAACATCCTTTAAAAAAAGGATTGTATGGTTTTAGAGTGAGTCTTCTGGGACTGTTTGAGTTCAGGATGGTTTGAAAACATGGAGCAGAAAAGTTCAGAAATTTGTCACTGCCCAATTATTCTATGACTCTAATACTTTACTTCTCTGGACACAAAAAGTAACTTATCTGATATCTGTGTCACTGTGCAGTCCAGCAAGAAATGCGGATATGCTGATAAAGGGAAATTTTAATCTTTGGAGGGCAAGGGGCTTGCAAAGAAACAGTCCATACAAGAAATGTTTTGTTGAAAATTTTATATAACTGCACTTAACCCAGATTTCAATAAACAATCCCTAAGACTAGAGAATTTGGAAGCTATTTCCCAAAGAACTCTATCAGCACATATCAAGATTCTCCTAATCTATAATAAAAGCCTGGTCTGTTCTCTGAGAGAGATTTTTAAAAAATGTACTGAGGGGGCTCCAGTAGGTGTCTTAGTGATTGGGATACAGGAATCCCACATGGTTGTCCATGGTTCGATTCCTGGACCTGGCAGCCTAAAAATCACACTAGGTGTGTGTGCATACCTAAGATCCCAAGAGGAGAGTTAGAGAAGAGGGGATTGCGGCATGGCCATCTCCCCAGGAGGGGTGATTTCTCACTTTCTCTCTGTTTCTCTGTTTCTCCCTATGGTGAAAAACAATCTTAAAAAAATATATATAGTAAAGGAATAAGTAAAATTACTAAACGCTTTAAGGAGAGGTCTGTCATTCCTTTTTTGTTAACGAGGTTTTCCTGCTATAGGGCGTGTGCGCTTGCCAGAGAGACAGAAAGTGAGAAATTATCCCCTGTGGGGCATGGCCCTGTTGTAATCCTTCTCCACCATTCACCTCTCAGGATTTGGGGCACGCATGCACACACGCCTAGCGTTGGGTTCAGGACTCAAACTGTAGTCAACCATGTAGAAGTCCAGCGACAGAACCATTATGCCATCTGTCGGTTCCAAAGGAGAGCTCTGTGATTCTAACCGTATGTATATTCCTTACCTATTTTAAGTTATGAAATTAAATCAGAAAGTAACACCCACACACATGATATGATAATATGGTAAGTTTTACTGAGTTTGCTTTCATCTATGCTTAGAAATTGTGTCTGTTGGGACCAGGAGAGGGCATAATGGTTACATTGCTGGACTCGTCCATGGCCAACTATGGTTCAAATCCCGGATCTGGCGTCTTGAAACTCACATCAGGCGCATGTGTGTGCATACCCAAGGTCCCAAAAGGAGACGGGAAGAGAAAGGAAGCAGCATGGGCATCACCCCGAGGGGCGGGTGACTTCTCTCTATCTCTCTGGTGAGCCCAAGTGCGCTACAGCAATAGTCTCACAAAAAAAAAAAAAAAAAAAAATTGTGCCTGTCCAGGTTGTCTCTTGTCTATCTTACTTTCTTACTTTATGACTAAGTTATAACATTTTTCTTTTCTTTTTTTTTCAGTCTATTTATAATCCTCCAATTTCCAATCATTTAGTTAATTTTGTTTTTGTTTGCTACAGGGTGTGTGCAGTGTCTGGAGAGAATCAAAGAGAAGGAAAAAGAGGGAGAAAGTGAGCAATCTCCCTCCAATGGGGATGGCCACACTGTGATCCCCTTTCCTCCATTCTCCTCTCAGGACTGTGGACATGGATGTGCATGCACATGCACTCTGTGTTTCTCAAGCTGCTGGATCCAGTACTGGAACCACACAGTTGGCTATGTGGGGTCCAGCCACAATAACCACCACGCCACTGGCTGGCCTCTCTTTGTAACATTTTTTTTAGAGAGGTTTTTTTTTTTTTTTTTTGCCATAGGGCGTGTGCGCTCGCCAGACAGACAGAGAGACAGAGACAGAAAGCGAGAAATCACCCCCCAGGGGGGACGGTCATGCCACAATCCCTTCTCCTCCATTCTCCTCTCAGGATCCAGGGCACACACGCACATGCGCCCGGCGTGAGTTTTAAGCCACCGGGTCTGGGAATCGAACCACGGTCGACTACGTGGGAGTCCAGCGATACAGCCATTACGCTAACTGCTGGTCCCTCTTTGTAACATTTTTATGTTGCAAATTTTCCTTGAAAATCTGAGCCCATTATAAATGAACTTTTTTGAGTCAAGATCCCATTATTCTGTATCTCCCTTGAAAGTCACTTAAACATACTCAGATGGAAAAAAGGTGCCTTTTAAAAACTGTACTCAGCTAGCTAGGTAGTGTGGAGGTTAAGGGAAGTGGATCCCACATGGCCAACTATGTGGTCTGAGTCCTGGACCCAGAGGTTTGAAAAACACACCAGGCACATGTATGCAAACACCCAAAATCCTGAAAGGAGAATGGAGAAGGGACTAGGGCATGACCATTCCCCTGGGGGTGATTTCTCACATTCTCTCTCTCTTTCTCTCCAGTGAGCCCACGTGCTCTACAGCAAAAAAAGAAAAAAATCATAAACACTGAACTAAGATTTTGTTTAGTTTGTCTTTCTCTTAGCCATATATGCAGCAAGTTATCCTTGCTATGCCAAGTTCTTCTCCTTGGCATATGAAGGGATAGAAGTAAACTTTTTTTTAGAGAGAGATTTTTGCTATAGGGTACATGCGCTCACTAGAGACAGAGAGAAAGCAAGCATCCCCAGAAGGGATGGCTACGCTGCAACCCCTTCTCCTCCATTTTCCTCTCAGGATTCCGGGCACGCACGCACACACGCCCAGCCTGAGTCTCAAGCCACTAGGTCTGGGACACAAACCATAGCTGACTACATGGGAGACCAGCGATACTACCATTACCCCATCGGCTGGTCCCAGAAGTAAATTTTTTTAAAGGACTCTTTTATTTTATTTATTTTTTCATGATAGAATTAATGTGTATGTAGGAAGGGAAAAAGACAGACAGACAGACACCCTCTCCAAGGCTCAGTCATACCACAATCCCCTTCCTATAATTCTCCAGCCCTCCAGAATCCTAGGCATGTGTGCATTCTCTCATCTTGCTTTTCTGGTCAACCAGACCAGGGACTTGAACTGTGGTAGACATGTGGCTTCCATCTACTCAGTCTAGTACACTATGGACTGTTACCACAAAAGATAGGTTTATTTTTAAGATATAACACCAGCTTTAAAATTCTGAACAGTTTCTGGGGTTGGCAGGTGGCATGGTGGTTAAGGGCACTGGACTCCCACATGGCCGACTGTGGCTGGAGTCTCGAACCTGGCAGCTTGCTTTCTCACTTTCACTCTCTCATTCTGTCCCTCTCTAGTAAAATTAAAATAAATAAATAAAGTTAAGTAAAATAATTCTTAAAAAAAAAAAAAAAACTGAACATTTTGGTTACCTTGCTTACCTGAGTGTGATGGTTTGATGATGGGTAAAAGATCTGGAGTGTTGATGTCAGACTGAGACTCCGCCCCACTTCCAACAAAAGAAGGACAGCTGACATCACTGAGCAGTTCAGGTTCACTGGCCCAGTCTGAATTCTCTTCTAATACCTGTTCATAGAATAATATAGTTACTGCACAGGAGTTGAAAATACAGTTAATTCTACGAACTTAAATAATTCTTGACCAGGATGAGCAGATGGCATAATGGTTATGTTTGCTAGACTCCCACGTAGTTGATCACGGTTCAAATTCCGAACATGGTGGCTTGAAATAAATCAGGAGCATGTGTGTGTGCCCAAAATTCTGAGAGAAGATTGGAAGAAAAGGGATTTCAGCATGGCCATCTCCTCGAGGAGGTGATTTCGCATGTTTTGTCTCTCTGTCTCTGTCTCTTCAGCAAGTGCACCTGCTCTATGGCAAAAACCTCTCTCTCAAAAAAAAAATTAAATTATTATTGACTGTCACAAACACTAGGAAAGAAACCACCTTAGGGAACTACAACTGTTTACCGTCTCCCAAAGTCTGAACACTTTTGACCTTTGAAGCCTGCACCTTGGCATGCCCAGCAGCGCTCTTGGGAAAGGGCTGCAGGAAAGGGACTGTGGAAACAGCTGCCGCACACACCTATAGTCTCCTTCTCCTGGGCGCAGCTCTCTCAAGCGCTGGTACCTTCACCGATGATGACAACGCCTCTGTGCATGCTAGCTGTCAACAACGCCTCCGTGCATGCCAGCTGGATTCTTGTGACTGAATCTACCTGGGAAATTTTTGCTTTGCACCTTTGCCAATTCCACTTCTGCCTGAGTTGTCCTCTCTTCTCCCTCTCTAGCCCATCACTTACTGTTCATGCCGTCCTTACAATTTTGCAAACATTCTTACAAACTCTTCTTCAGGCTTCTTGTCTTAGAACTCCGTGGCACTTACTGAAAGTTAAGAAAAAAAATTCTTAAAAAAAAAAAAAAAAACTGAACATTTTGGTTACCTTGCTTACCTGAGTGTGATGGTTTGATGATGGGTAAAAGATCTGGAGTGTTGATGTCAGACTGAGACTCCGCCCCACTTCCAACAAAAGAAGGACAGCTGACATCACTGAGCAGTTCAGGTTCACTGGCCCAGTCTGAATTCTCTTCTAATACCTGTTCATAGAATAATATAGTTACTGCACAGGAGTTGAAAATACAGTTAATTCTACGAACTTAAATAATTCTTGACCAGGATGAGCAGATGGCATAATGGTTATGTTTGCTAGACTCCCACGTAGTTGATCACGGTTCAAATTCCGAACATGGTGGCTTGAAATAAGTCAGGAGCATGTGTGTGCGCCCAAAATTCTGAGAGAAGATTGGAAGAAAAGGGATTTCAGCATGGCCATCTCCTCGAGGAGGTGATTTCGCATGTTTTGTCTCTCTGTCTCTGTCTCTTCAGCAAGTGCACCTGCTCTATGGCAAAAACCTCTCTCTCAAAAAAAAAATTAAATTATTATTGACTGTCACAAACACTAGGAAAGAAACCACCTTAGGGAACTACAACTGTTTACCGTCTCCCAAAGTCTGAACACTTTTGACCTTTGAAGCCTGCACCTTGGCATGCCCAGCAGCGCTCTTGGGAAAGGGCTGCAGGAAAGGGACTGTGGAAACAGCTGCCGCACACACCTATAGTCTCCTTCTCCTGGGCGCAGCTCTCTCAAGCGCTGGTACCTTCACCGATGATGACAACGCCTCTGTGCATGCTAGCTGTCAACAACGCCTCCGTGCATGCCAGCTGGATTCTTGTGACTGAATCTACCTGGGAAATTTTTGCTTTGCACCTTTGCCAATTCCACTTCTGCCTGAGTTGTCCTCTCTTCTCCCTCTCTAGCCCATCACTTACTGTTCATGCCGTCCTTACAATTTTGCAAACATTCTTACAAACTCTTCTTCAGGCTTCTTGTCTTAGAACTCCGTGGCACTTACTGTGTGTAACACGTAATCGACGGGGATATACTATCTCGTGCCATTGTTTCTCATGCCATTGTTTCATCATTCACACAAGCACTGTTGAAAAGGTGGTCAGTGTCTCTACACAGGTCAACTGGTGGGCTACCTAGAGACCTCGTTAGCATGGGACCAGCTGATGGCGTAATGGTTTCGTCACTGGACTCCCATATAGTTGACTGCAGATCAAGTCCCACACCTGGTGGCTTAAAACTCATGCTGGGTGCATGGGTGTGCTCACCCAAAATCCTGAGAGGAGACTGAAGGGATTGTGGAGTGGCCACACCCCACACACCAGCTTTTTGTCTCTATGTTTATCTCTGTAGCTCCGGGCTCTGGGGAGAGTGCATATGCCCGATAGCAAAAATATCTCCTGAAAAAAACACTCCATTAGCTGACAGGACTTGGGCGGAACTGATTACCCTCAAAGAGCTACATCTTGGCCCTGCAGGCCAAGAAATCTGATCTTTTACAAGGAGATAAGACTCCTGTTAAGCTCAAAGAGACTGAAGGAAAAAAAGCAAGGAATGGGATCAGGTGCTCTGTGCTGTCAAGCACATCCACCTAGACAGGCAGCCGCAAGCAGCTCAGGCGCAGCACACGTGGCGTGGACTCCCTGGGAAGAAGGAAGTGATCAGGAGGAGGCTTCCACAGGCTCTTGCAGGAGCCACAGCCAGCTGCTGGGCTGCGCATCAGGCCCTCTGCCTGACTTCCCTGGGCTAGTCACCTCCCCTCTAAGGCCAGCCTCTCCACTGTGCACTGTCTCACCCCTCCACCCATTCAATGATCGCACTCGGTTCTCCTTTCTCTCCACTGTAGGGTTTTCCTCTCTACTGTACCGTTCCCATCGGTATACAAATATGCTCTTATTACTCCACTTTCAGAAACACTTCGCCTTGATCCCAGTTGCCAAGTAATTTCTTTGATCTCTGTAGCAAAATGCCTTTAAAAATCTCCAACTTCTCTCCTCTCAGTCTTTTTTTTTTTAAAGGCAGGATCTCACTGTGCCTCAATCTCCCCAGTAACTGGTACTTTAGGCATATACCACCAAGCCCAGCTTTAGGGGCCAGGAATCAAGCTCAGCGTCCTGTGGGGGCTTGCCCTGCCAAGTAGCAGCAGCTAGTGTGCTACCAGGGTCGAGCCCGCTCAACTTATCTTGTACCCCTTGCTGACTGAGCGTGCGTCCCACTGCTGGTGACCCATGTGGCTCCCTGCCTCCGTGGTGCTAGCAGCAGCATTCAGCACACTGGTCACTGTCCTCTTCCAGAAACTTGGCTTCCAGATGCCATCCCTCACGCTCTCCACTACCCTCTTACTTCACCGGCTGTTCCTCAGGCACCTTCACTGGTTCCTTTCTCATCCCAAATCTCTTAACCCTAGAGTGGCCCAGGCTCAGTTTTTGGTCTCTTCTCTGTCTTCACTCCTTGGTGATGTCATCTGACCTTGTTGCCAAATTAAATACTAGCTTTTTATTTAAATTCTAAAACGTATGGCTCCCCTCCTCCATATTTTACCAGCCCTGAAATCAAGATGCAGCTTAAAATCTGGTATATCCCAATTTCATTCGCAGCATTCTTTCCTTTCATAGAGGCAGTTAAAACAATGGTGTACCTTACAGACAATGGAATTTCAGATTTGATCATTAGAATATAAACTGACAACTCCCGAATTTCTACTTCCAGCCCAGACCTCTCTCACGACCTGCAGACTTGTGCATCTAACTGCAAACTGACACTTCTTTTCAGATGTCTAACAGCTGCCTGAAACCAAATGTCCAAAACTCACTTCCTGCCCTCCTGGTCCCATCTGCCATTAGTTGATGCAAGTCCTTCCATTCTAGCTGCTCAGGCCAAAGACCGTAGAGTTACCCTTGACTCCTTCCTCATACCCCAAGTCCAATTCCTCAGGAAGTCCTGTTGGCTAAATCTTCAAAGTTTATTCGGAATCCAAATGATTATCTCATTGCAATCACCTAGCCCCAGCCACCATCCTTTCTCATCTAGGGCCAAGCTTCTCAGACTTCAGTATATGTATACAAAGGGGCTTCCAAAAGTCTGTGGAAAATGCAATTTAAGTACAAGTTCATTTGGGTGCAAAAATAACTTGACACCCAGTCATAGGCATCTGATAAAACAGAAACTTTTTTTTTTTTTTTAGGTTTTTGCAGATGTGTCCTCACTGGAAAGAGAGAGGGGAAAGTGAACAATCACTTTCCAGAGGGGATAGCCATGCCACAATCCCTTCTCCTCCATTCTCCTCTTGGGATATTGAGCATGCATACACCTGGCATGATTTCCAAGCTGCCAAGTCCAGGACTTGAACTGCAGCTGGCCATGTGGGAGTCAAGTGCCTTAACCACCACGCCACCTGCTGATTCCAATAATAAATAAACTGTTGTTTTGTTTATTTTTGGTTTCTGCATTCAACAGAGAGATAGAGGGAAAGTGAGAACTCACTCCTTGGGAGGCATGGCCACACCACCTTCCCTTCTCCTCCATTCTCCTGGGATGTTGGGCATGCACCCACATGTGCCCAATGTGATTTTCAAGCCACCAGGTCTGGGACTTCAACAGTGGTCAGTCATGTGGGCGTCCAGCACCTTAGCCACCACACCACCCACTACCCCCAATACGTGGACTTTTTGAAGACCCCCTCATAGGAAGCAACTGGAGACCTGTTAAAATGCAGATCTGGAGTTAAGACATCTGGGTGAGACCTGAAATTCTGTACTTCCGGCCCCTAAATATGCCCATGGCTTACTCTCTCCCTTAAGGTTCATCCTCAAGAAGGTTTCCCCTGACCACTTTGAATTAAATAGCACCCTTCTCTGCTGCCCCATTCCCTATCCTCCTTACTCTGATTTATGTATTTGCTTGCCTGTTTACTTTTCCTGGAAGTTTTTGATTATTTATGTCACCCACAACTACACAGCAGTGGGACAAGGATTCGAATGTAGGCCTTTCTGTTCTGGGAACAGTTAAATCGATAGCACTAAGAAAATATTTACAGAATATTTGAGAAGATTGGGAACCAGCAGTTAGCATAATGGCTATGTCGCTGGATTCCCACGTAGTCGACCATGGTTCGCATCCCGGACCCGGTGACTTAGAACTCACGCCGGGCGCGTGTGCGTGTGTGCCCAAGATCCCGAGAAAAGAATGGAGGAGAAGGGA